TCGACACCTCGGCCGCACGCAGGCGCGACCCTCTGCTGGAGTGGCCTCTGGCGCGGCGGGCCCAGCAGACACCCCCCTTTCCGACCTCCGAGCGCGACGGGGAAGACAGTTCAGAGCGTGAATTACCTACCCCGCTTTCGCTTCCAGGCAAAACCAGGCCATACCACGCGCCTCCTCGTTCAGCGGCCTGACCAGTACAGGCCGTAGTTTGGCATCGTTTGGTATCTCTTGGAAGCGAGGGTGGTCAAAAGCGAGGCAGGTTTGTTTCCCCCCTAACAGTGGAGGCCCATGCCAAGAAGCACCCTGCGAGCCTCCAGGGTGCCCCCGGCTTCGTTGGCTTCGATGCCTCTGTGATGGGAGGCGTGACTCTCCCCCACATCAAAGATCCAGGCCCTTCCCGGGGTCTCGGGGTGGGGTTTCTCGTGGAAGGTTTCTTGCGGTCGGGCCTCCACTGCCTAGCAGCGGCTCCTGCTCGCTCGGGTTCATCAGTCGGGCCCGCCCCTCTACCGGAGGAATACGCAAAAATAGTTTTAAGATAGTCTGGGGACTATTTTGTCGTAGTATGTTTGACCATATAGTGGAGCATGTTTCTTGTATATTTTGTCTGTCCTCGAAAATCCCCCTGTAGGGGAACTGTTTTAGTATTTTTCATACATAGTCTGGGGACTATGTTTAACCATAGTCTGGGGACCTTTTTTAAACATATGTTCGATCATTTGTGAGCATTTTTCTAGTAGTTCTTTGTCTGTCCTCGAACAAATCCCCCTGTATGGGGGACACGCCCGACTCAACGCTCGGGCGGTCTTTGCCGCCCCCCCATCCGCCCCCCTCCCCCCCACCGCACCCCCCCGAGGGCCGCGCACGCGCGGGAGGCCGCTCTTAGGCCCAGGGCCTCTTGGCACCGCTCGGACGCGTTCGTTTTTAAGGAGGGGAAAAACACACTCAGACACAATGAATCGTCGATTCCCAGAAAATATGGGAAAATATGGGAATTGGGCGGGAAGACCAGAGACCAGGAAATACGGGAAAATATGGGGAATTGTGTTATTTGTGTGTATTTATTTGTGTGTCCTGGGGCCCCTTCAATTTTTTCTTGGCGAGAACCATCGAGGAGCATCCTGGACCATCGAGCAGAGAAAAACACGCACGAAACCGAGCAGTGCACGGGGAATAGACGTCCCAGCGACGGCAAGGGGTCGCTCTGGCGTGGGGCCGGACGTCGACCGCACGCTCACCGCCAAGCCGGGCGAGCTCGAGCAGTGCCAGATCACGTGGGGCAACGTGACCGGCATCCACGACGACGCCTTCGGCGGTGGCACTTTGGTGCTCTCCCGGCTCAGCATGGACGTCACCACCCACCAAACCACCCCAACCTAACCCGACGGCCTCAATTTGCCCTCCATTTCCGGTGCGGGGGGGTCGGGGCACACTGAGAAACCACATACGGAACCCGTACCCCCCCCCCAACCCGAAATTTGGGTTTACGGGTTGGGTTGGGGTGGTCTGGTGGGTAGCCAGGACGGGGGCGGGGGGGCGTGCGCTCCCTGCAAGCGGGGCGTCATCTCGGCCAACCCCGGCAACAACCACCAGGAGTTGGAGGCCAGGGCTCGACTTGAAGCGGCGGTGGCGGCGACTTCGTGGGCCGTTCTCGTTCCGCCTGCGCTCTGCAGCAAGGGCAGGACGAAGACAAGGCCAGGGAAAGCTCAGGCGATCGCAGGCAAGGATCAGTGGGATGCGTGAGCGACGGGTCCCGCCTCCATTGGGACCTCGCGGCCCTCCGCCGCCGAGCGAGGCGGCTCCGGCCGCATTCTGGGGAGGGCACCTCCCCCGATCCATGGATCTGGCGACCGCGCGCCGTCCATGGATCGCCAATCCACGTTTGCGCGCCCCCGAAAAACGTACGCCGAGCGCACACGGAGAGCACCGTGCGTCGAAGAAGAAACAACGCCATAAACATAGACTGTTGGCGTTCCTCGCTGGATTTCTTGGATCCGCTCTGGGGCCCCCCGGCGGCACCTACGGCGCCGCCCCTGGCGCGCTCCGCGCGCCAGGGAGAGGGGTCCAGCGCAGATCCAAGAAATCCGCGCGCAGCGCCAAAAGTGTATGTTTATGGCGTTTTTCTTCTTCTAGTTTGTTTCGAGCCCTGCCGGAGGTCATCGCGGCCCACCTGGGCGCCCCCCACCCCTGGAGCTTCGGCGGCGTGGCCAACTCCCCGCTCGTGGTGGGCTGCGGCGCGGGAGCCAAGCACGTGTGCGCCAGGGACATCCTGGACTGGTACCTCTCCGCGCTGCGGGTGCTGATCCGGCCCGAGGACGCAGGGCCCTTCTCGATCAGATCGCCAGTGATGCGAGGAACAACAACGCCATGAACATAAACTTTTGGCGCTCCGCGCGGACCTCCAACAGTTTGTGTTCATGGCCCTTTTTTTTCTTCGTCTGATCTCGATCAGATCGACTCCGTGATTCCGACGATCCGACGCAGACCGATGTCGGCGTGGCCTTGCCGTGCCTCTTCGCACCGCCGGCCCGGCTCGGTTCCCGACTCCGAGCCCCTCTATGCGTTCCGATCCGAGGTTCGCTCCCGTCCGATCCGATTTGTGCGGTCCGACGGCTTTACGATTCGAGGTTGACTGCCCCTGAGGTTATATGATGTTCCAACCTACTTTAGCCTTGCTCCCGTCCGATCCGATTTGTGCAATCCGACGTTTTTACGATTCGAGGTTGACTGTCCCTGAGGTTAAAGGATGTTCCAACCTACTTCAGCCTTGCTCATCAGAAAGACTCTCGAGCACCAGGAGAGCACCGAAGCCGGAGGGTTGTCGCGCGCCAGGCCCGTGGAGGCGATGCTCGTTCGACACCGTTTCGATACTTCTCTGGGTGCTCGAAATTACTTTTGGGGATGGGGTCCTCAAGTACGATGGGAGGGAGGGAACCCTGAGGACGTGTATTTCTTCGACGACGAGGCGCGGAACCTCGTCGGCTTCGAGAGCTTCGGGATGAACGCGCGGCAGGTCTCCTGCGGCACGCGCGACGGGCCCCTCGGTCTCTGCGGCGCCCACCCGGACGAGGTCATGTTGGCAAAGGGGGTAGCGCCCTGCCGGTAGTTTTAGGTAATTATGTGTAGTTCGTTCTCAGGTTGCCACCGCCGCGCCTATGCATTTAGTTGCCAGGTCCGCCAGCCGCCATCCCAGGTCAACACGATCAGAGTGTAGACAGGGCCGAACACGGTCGGTGCCAGACCAGCGCAAAGCGCTGTCCTGCACGAAGCCATCCAACGATGTGGTCGTTGATGCAGTGACAGCAGTGTGGCAGTGATTGTGTGTGTTTGTTTGCAGGGTTAATGTCGCGAGCATTATCTCTCGAGAGTATGCCGCTCCCACCTTTCTGTTCGTTCTAGCCGTCTCGCACTGTAAACTTCACGTCGCTGCTGCTAGAACCATGGTTTTACTGGGCTCTGCCCACTGCCCGTGCGCGGAGCTGCGCCCATGCCTTCATGGAATGAATGCGCAAGGCCCTGCCAGTACGCCCGACTCGGGCAGCCACCTGAACTGTCCGAGCGACGCTCACGCGTGCTGGGGGGGCGGGGAAAAAAATGTAGTTGTAAGCAGAAAGGTTGTCGATGAAGTAGATTGCACAGGTCCCAATCGATGATGTTGATGGATTTTGACGCCCAGAACGATGCATTCATAAACGGTACTTCCCCACCCGACATGTTGGGGCTGTTCGATGTCGAGAACAGGCAGGCCCCCCAGCCAACCCCACTCTGCATACCCTGGCCGCCATACCCCAAGCTGTCACGATGATCCCCGAAAGTCCCGGGTATCCCGCCTCGCTTCAGGCCAACCTCACCCTGCATGCCGCGACCACCAGACCCAAAGTTGTCCCGATGATCCCCGAGAGTCCTGGGTGTCTTGCCTCGCGCTCTTGACGAACACGACACAACGCAACATGACAGAACAGACATGACAGAACGGAACAGAGCATGACAGAACATGACGGACCATAAGATATCTTCATCATGCTCAAGTAGAGCATACCACAACATCACATACCATACCAGAGCATATCACTACAGAACAGCAGACGACATAACACAACATACCATATTGTAATTGAGCATTACATGACACACCTTGAAATAACATATCACAGCATGACACAGCATCACAGACCATACCGTCACACCACAGCAGGGCATAGCGACGACGAACACGACATAACACAGTATGATCTAACATAACATCGCAGAACAGAACACGAGCATGACATACCATGCCATAACATAACATAGCAACGCCATGATATCATAGAGCATTACATAACAACACATACCATACCAGAGCAGAACATGACATAACCGACGACGACAAAACACGACATAACAGAACAGAGCCGAGCATAACATAACGCACCTTGACAGAACATATCAGATCAGAGCGCATCTTCACATTACGTATCATACCATGGTAGCAGAGCATAGCGACGACGAACACGACAGAACACAACATGACACAACGTAACATTGCAGGACAGAACACGAGCATTATAGAACATGACAGAACACAGCATCGCACTGCCATGACAAAATAGAGACGAATAGAGCAGCACAATCTACCAGAGCAGGACATGACAGAACAGAAGACGACATAGCACACCATAGCATAAAACAACGAGCATACCATAACACACCTTTACACAACATCTCATAACACGGCTGTAGAGCATAGCGGCACATATTAGCACATCAGATCGCACTATACTATACAGAGTTGAGCCGTCAACAAACATAACACCACATAGTATACCAGAGTATAGCATGACGCAGCATAAGACATACCACTACATACCATAACATAGCCGAGCATTACATACCTCACCTTGGCAGGACCTATCAGATCATAACACAACAGCAGAGCACAGCAACACATAGCACTGGCATGACAAACTCGAGCATAACTTAACATCACACAACGTACCAGAGCAGAACATGACATAACCGACGACAGCATAACACATCATAGCATAACATAGCCGGGCATCACACATGACACACCAGGCTGTTATATATATATGTGTATATATATATCAGCGTGTCACATGACAGCCTCGCATAACATATCGCAACACGATAGCAAAGCATACCGAATCATACTAGCAGATCAGACCATGCTATGCCATGCTGAGCCGAGCTGCCAACAGCATCCCGGAACAGAGCATAGTATTATGTATTTTGACGTAACATGTCATCTCATAACATAGTGCAGCGCAACAGAGCAGATCATGGGTAACATGTCAAATCCTTTGGTACCATAGGTGAGCACAAACATCTTGTGTTCAAACCAAAGGGAACTTTACACGTGACGAGGAACATTATAACAGACGATGCAGACGTCACAGGCGTCACGACGTCACGCCGACCCGTCGAGAACAGAGCAGGACATAATAGAGCACAACCTGAAAGAATGCGACTGCATGGACCACGGTTGAACCGCTTCTACATCCAGAAACGACAGTTATCGACCAATTCGGCCACCGCGCGCCGTCGGGAACCAACGCTTAAGGTTTCGGTGGGGGTCGCTCGAAGCAAAATACATTGCATCAAAGAGTGATTTGGTTTCGTGGAATGTGCTGCCTTCGGGTCCATGATGATTGTCCAGCGCAAATAGGCGGCGTGAGTACATGGGTATTGGTCGCTCGCAGTGGGAACTGCTCCCCTTCATCCCGCGCTCCCTGCGGTGTCCAGACTTTGACCGCACGGCCGCGGTGTCAAGGGGAACGCCTCCGCATTCAACACTTGAAGTCAGTTCTTCGCTCTGTACATTGCCCCCCCTCAATTCCAAGCTACGTGTACCCTCCACCCTTGGCTTCTCACTAGACTCTACTCTCTGCACTCCGCGTCCTGTTCTCAGCTCTATTGTGCTCCATACTATCTGCCTATTGTTCCCTCCACCCGCGCGAAATCATAACACATCGGGGCCAGTTTTAGGCACACCTTGAGAGCCTTCGACATCCTGTGGTTTCCAGCGGCGCTTCTGGGAGAGTCGACGCCTTCTTGTTATCACCTTAGACTCTCGTGGATGCATGTGTGGGCCCTCTGTTGATATTTTCTAGGCTTCTCGGCGTCTGCCTTGGGCAATGATGGCACTCGTCGGTTGTTTGGAAGGGCGGTTGGAGATGGACAGAAACGATATTAAACGCAATGTCACTACATAGCTGGTCGACCATGTTGACCATTTGGGTACCCGGGTGCAGTATACTTTGGGATAGTCTTGGACATTCCCAGGTTTCCGTGGGTCTCAGGCCAATGCCAACCTATTTAGGAGGACGAAACAGTTTCGAAAGTGATTTGTACACGATGAACAATTGGATGTAGGTGTGGGTGTCATATGTCAGGCGATATCGGCCGAATATTGCCGCTAGAACGCGGTGTCCTTGGCCTAGCGACGGAGAGCATTGAGTTTGTCGGTTGTGTTGGTTGCAGCCCTCGAGAGTTTTGACGTCACGATCCAATCATTCTGGTGGACGATTGCGTGCAACCAAGGCGCTTCTCGTTCACCGTCTTTCCGTTTCTGCAGCAGCCCCTAATTAAAACCTCATAATTGGCCAGGGACAGCCGCGAGACAGCCCGCAACGCTTCGAACGAAATACACTTGAGGAACAGAAGAGACAGGGGTCGACTGCGCCGACATTCGCGCGTAAGATTCCCGCGCAAGTCCTCGCGTAGGCGCCCCCTTCTACAGGCGGCGTGCCACGCTGGCGCTCCGCGTAAGCCGCGGCGCAGGGTCGTTATGTTTCTCGCGTCGGTGCATCAGACCCGTTTCTTCTCGTCGCTCATGTGCTGCATTAGCTGCCCAAGGGGGGCCAAGATATCCCCCAGCCTCCAGATGGCACCCAGAGAGCTCGCAGTTGCTCATCCTCCTCCAGATCGCTGAGCTCAACTTTTGGCTGTACCCAGCTCAAACGGGCGGCAGGACCCGCAGTCGATCACAGTTCTGACCAGGACATTGGACATCCCAGGTGGATAGCATCCTGGGCGGAGAGCGCTTCGACCGGCGGCCACAGTTTCTCGGGCGCGCCCACGTCTGCCGCAGATGGAAAAGGCCCTCCTTTCGTGGGACCCTTTGGGGCCCCCCCGACCTGGCCTGATGGCTTCTGAGATCGTTCCCACAAAGGCTCTCCAGAGGAGGAGGGGGAGGAGGAGGAGGAGGAGGAGGAGGAGGAGGAGGAGGAGGAGGAGGAGGAGGACGAGGAGGGGGAGGACGAGGAGGGGGAGGAGGAGGAGGAGGAGGAGGAGGAGGAGGAGGAGGAGGAGGAGGAGGAGGAGGAGGAGGAGGAGGAGGAGGAGGAGGAGGAGGAGGAGGAGGAGGAGGAGTTGCCTCCTGCCTCGCGCCCGCGCGCCGAGCCCCCCTATCGGCACGGGGGGCGTGGGCCTCGACCCCCCTGCCTGCCCTGCTGCGGAGGGCCGCCGCCGAGCGAGAGAGAGAGAGAGCCCCCCCTCGGCAGGGCGTGGGCTGCTTCTTCCTCCTGGCGCCCCAGTGTCCGAGCGGCGTCTGCTGGCTCGCCCCGGGGCCGGCCGCGAAAGCCGCGGGCAGCGGCGGCCGCCTGCCCTGCGAGCGCGCGCGGGCGTCCAGAGCGGGGACGGCGTTCCCCGTAGAGGGGGCGACGTCTGTCTTCGCGCCGTGTCCGTGTCCTCCATTCGGCGGCGAGCCCAGTGGAGACGTGGAGGGGGAGGGGGCGGGCTTTCAAGGAAGGCGGCGGGGCCTCTCAGGAGCCCTCGCGCCTTCTGAGAAGAGAGCTGCGTCTTCGGAGAAGGCCGAGACAGCCTCTCAGAAGGCCGGGTGAGCTCCCAGCCTCAGGAGGGGGAAAAAATACACAGACACAGTTAATCGGCGATTCCCATAAAATATTGGGAAATATGGGAAGTGGGGGGAAGACAAGAACCCAGAAAAAATATGGGAAAAGATGGGGGATATCTTTATTTGTGTGTATTTATTTGTGTGTGCCCCAGTTCCCCTTCACAACCTTCTGAGGAGGCCCGCCCCGTCGGGTTCCCCCCCTTTTCTGGGCTCGCCGCCGATCAGCAGCTATAGACTGCACGGTCGAGACGCGGAAGTGATGGCCACTCCGGGCCCAGGGGGGGCTCCGGCCTCCGCAGAGCTCCTCAGCTCTGGGTTTGAGTCGGGCGCGTCCTTCTACAGCAGGAAGATTCAAAAATAGTCAAACATAAGATGGGGACGATTTTTCTATCTGTCCATTTCGAGTATGTGTTGTGTGCTTTCGATTCGTCGTCGAAAATCCGCCTGTAGGGGGACATGCCGGACCTAGAAATCTGGGTCGGGAATCCTCTTCGTGGCCGAGTCTCGCCATGGCCTTGAACAGCCCCTTCGTTCCTCATTCGGTGTCCCCTTGTGGCACCGCGGTGATTGCATCTGCACATGTTGTCCAGTCCCTCAGCTCTCTATCGTTTAACCGATCCCTATCCTCATCCCCATCCACATCTCGAGTCCCACCGTCTCACCACCTCAGTTGGGGATATGCACCTCGAAACCCGAAGAGAGGAGCCTACATCCCCATCAAGGGGGTAAATCAGCCAGTGGGACCCAGCCCACGCTGGTGGGGATGGGGATCGGTCAAACGATGCTCATCAGCAGCTCAATGACGGCCCACAGCGTCGCAACCATGTGCACCTGTGCCGCGGAGCGACGTGCTGTGCCGCCCTGTATGCGCCGAACCGCCAGAAATTGGTAATGGTGGTTTCATGCCGTGTTCTCTGGATCGTGTTGTGGAAGCGTTTGTCGAGTCTAATGCCACGTGCGAAAAAACAATTGGGAAACCTCGCCATGTGTGTAAACTAGTGCTCGCTCTCCACAAGGGGCCCACAGATGACACCTGCTCCGTGCTTTGCCGTACCGTGCGTGGTGTGCTGCGCCATGTCGTACCGTGTTGCCGTCCCGCATGTGCGTGAGTGCGATTGACTGGAGCATTCGGATTGCCTCACTGCGATTGAGCGGAGGTTTCCCCCATGCCTCACACATCGGGATTACGAAGTTCGCGAGCGAGAGAATCGAGTTTCGCCATTCGAGCCATTCCGCACGCGCGACCTTGTAAGATTTACCCAGAGGGTGTTATGTAGGGTTTCTCACGTCGCATCTTCGGAGAACCCTGTCTATACTGGAAAGTGATGTCGTTGTGTTCGATGCGGGTTCTGCGTGGGTTCGACGCGGATTCGGCGCGGATGCGGCGCGTGCTGGGCCAGGCTTCGGCGTGGGTCCGGCGCGACTCCGAGACGCTCGACGTGGACTCGACGCGAATGGCGGCGCGGCGGGACACAGACGAGGCCTCCAGCACACGCAGCGTAATTCCCACGTCAAGCGCGCTGCGCGGAGCAGAGCCCTGCCTCGCTGCCCGAGCCACAGCGTACGCTGCCCGCTTGGAGGCGCGCGCTGTCTGCCCGGCCCAGCAGCCGCCCTCGGCGTCGGACAGCATACTCGTCGGGGCACTGGAGAAGGAGCCTTTTTCGTTGGGGAGGGGCTCGGTGCCTCTTGACTGTTTAACAGGCTGCCTCAGGTTTTCCTGACGTTTCCCAGGGGACACCGAAGATTCACTCATGGGAGAAAGGGGCCTCGTTCCCTATTTGGGGTTCCTTAGGTCAACGCCCCGACTGTATTCGTCAGCGGGCCGAGGGGGGACGTGAGACGGGGCAGGTCTTCTCAGAAGGCAGCGGGGCTTCTCAGAAGCCATCTGGTCTTCTTAGAAGCCCTCTGTGGCTTCGGGGAAGGCTTACCCTCTCCCCTGGGCGCGCCGCCGACGTCTGCTCCTGGCACCCTCCCCGTCAGTGCCTTCCCCGCGCCGGGCGTGTCGGCATCTGTCTAGCCCTCGCGTTGGTCCCCATCCGCTCGCCGCGAGCACAAACACGACGGGCGTGTTTTGTGTTTTGCAGTTTTCGGCCGGGGGCCGTTTCCAGGCCCCAGGGCCTTCAAGAAACCTTGAGATCCGGGAGTTGTTTCTTCTTTCGCACTGAGCGTGTTCGCCGAGTTTCGGGCCCCGGGACCATCACAACTCGATCCCGGCCCAGAAAATGTTGCAGAAATATTGGGTTTAGGGCTCAGATCGTGATCTTTCGCGATGTTGCAACTGGTTCGTGACATCGGATTTCAGTGAACGGCTCAGGATGAAGAGCCGGTTCTGGGGAAGGGGTTCAGACCTTTGGGGGCCCAGTTGTGAAAAGGAGCGCCGGCGGGAAATTCTTGTCGCTGGAGCGGCGAATGGTTCAGGGGCCTAGTTGCCCTGATACGCCCGCGTTGAAACACAATACGTACCGCGTTCAAACCGTTGTGGTTGAAGTCAGGCTGCTTGCTGTCTCAACGCCTGTTGGCCCACGTTTTTGTTGGGCTTGGCGCGATCACGTCGTGCCGGGCCTCTGCTACGGGTTGCGTGCTGCGTATCGGGGCAGCCGAGTTCAAGGGTCACTGGCCGAGAGAGGGGGTCAGGAAAGATTCGGTCAGGCCAACCTCGGCCGAGCCGGAGTCGGCCAGGCTCGGCCTGGGCCGTTTCCGGCTCGGCCGAGTCCGGCCGCCTGGCCGAGATCGGCCAGTCGAGTGCGGCCTGGCAGAGTTCGGCTGGCCGAGCTCGGCCTGGCCGAGTTCTTCGCGGCCGGGCTCGGCGGATTGCCTCCGGGGCCGACGGGAGGCGGCCCCCGGGGCGACCGAGGGGCGAGGCGTGGTGAGGGCGGGCGGCGTGCTCCTCCTCCTCCTCCTCCTCCTCCTCCTCCTCCTCCTCCTCCTCCTCCTCTCCTCCTCCTCCTCCCTCCTCCCCCTCCCCCTCCTCCCCCCTCCTCCTCCTCCTCCTCCTCCTCCTCCTCCTCCTCCCCTCCTCCCCTCCCTTTCCTCCTCCTCCTCCTCCACCTCCACCTCCTCCTCCTCATCCCCGAGCCGCTTTGGCGCTTCCAGCCCCGGCGCGGAGGCGATCCGCGTCCGGGCGATGTGGCATCACGTCCACGATCGTAATGATCACAACGACCAGGCTCGAGCCAGCTCAGCCAGCGAGTTCACACCGAGGGTCCGCAGAGTCCTCGGCGAGCCTTTCCCATCCCCTGTCGCGTGCTCTCTGTGGGTGCAGCAGGGGCAGAGCATTGACCGTTGATCGATGGTCGTTGATCGGAGCCACAGGCCAGCCAGTCTTGGAAGTGGGGGCGACGACCAGGGGCAACGGTGGCGCGGTCGCATCACGGGCAGCGTCATTGGGGGATGTGGGCTCAGGGAGGGTCGCCTCGATATTTTCGGATGTTGTCTTCGGCCCTCGGCGGTTTTCCTGCATATACTCCAGATTTCACCATAAAAGGGGGGTAGTCTGATTTGGGATGGGGTCAGATTTGAGCTGCCTTGGAGGGTTCCAGTCGGTCTGGGCAAAAAGCCGCCCTTCATGGCTTGTTTGGGGGGGTCTGGAATTGCCCGTCTGTGAGGGTTGTGACCCCCTCCCTTTTATGGCGAAATCTGGAGTAGGTGCTTTCCAGTGGCCGCGCCTCGCCGAGAGCGTTCTGGGGGTGCCCGCATCGTCCCGAACTGCACGCGGGGGCCAGAGCTGCGATCCGAAAACCACCAGGGACGGGGATCGGCTCTGGGGGGGCTCGTCGACCCCCCCTCGCCCATGCATCGCCCAGAGGGGCCTCATAGCCCACGCCGTCGGGGTCCTGCCGCCGATCTATCGGCGGTGTATCATCGATTCCAGGTCGATGCTTCTCCCACGGAGCCAGCACCCCCTAACGTTAAGTCGGGCCCGCTTCCCTACACAGGAAGAAGATCCCCAAAGTAGTAAACATGAATAGTCTGGGGGGGACTTTTTGACGATTGTCGTTTCTGTTTTATCATTGTGTTCATTTTTCGTTCAGAATCCCTGTGTAGGAGGACATGACCGACCTAATCCTAAAGTTGCCCCTCAATCAACTCCCGAGCCTCCGGCCAGCCAGCCGAGCATGGGGAGGCGGCGAGAGTCCATTAAGCATCCAGCCGGAAGCACATCCCTGTCCCCATGATCAGCATGGCCGTGTCTCGGCGCCGATCGAGCAGATGTCGTCGCGTCCTGAGGGCACATGCCTAAGATTGTGTTCGCCTTGGGCTTGTCGACTGCAGGGGTCGGGATAAGCTCGACGCCGGTGAGAAACAGCCCGCTCGGGAGTCGGGCGGACGGCAACGGGGATACCCACGTGGCTGAAGACAGGCGCACTCTTCCAGCACCTTTTGGGGGCTGCTGTGGCACTCCGGGGCCCCACTCAGTCGCCATTTCCTGCTGCTCTCGGTGACGCCCCCGTCCCGTTTGGTGGCCCTCCGTGAACTCGGGGGCCCCCGAACGGTAAGGTGACTGACTATACCGCGTGGCGAGTCAGTGGGGATTCGGGGTCACCGCACGGTCTTCGCTTTCGAGTCGTCCTCCCAGGACGTCTCGGGCGGTTGGGGCCTCCGGGGTCCGAAAGCCGTGCGGTGGCGACCGGCGCGGCGGGCGGCCAGTCAGATTTGGCACCAGAGAGCAGCCCCGCCACGCCGTGCGCTTCTCGCGGGCGACGTCGGGGATCGATCTTCGGGGACCTCGGCAGGATGCCTGTTTGTATTATGTATGCATGCATGCATGCATGTACGTAGGTATGGATGTAGACGTGTAGACATAGCTAGCTACGTGTGTATATATATATATATATATATATATATATATATATATATATATAATATATATATATATATATATATATTCATAGTTGTATATACATGCTTACATGTATATAAGAGCGCGCTGTGGGAGACGCGAAGAACAAAAGGGGGCCCCCGGATTCGAGCTCTACCCCTCTCCCTCCTCCCACCAGGGGGGGAGCTTCCGAAGCTCCCCGCCCTTGAGCAACCATGGAAACTGAGGGGGGGGGCTTCGGAAGCCCCCCCCCTTTCATTTCTGGTGTCGGGGTAGGGTCGGGCTGCCCTCTGTGTGAGGGGTGTGCCGAAATGAGTGTGGCGGACGCATGTGGACAGTGCGACTGGGGCCGTGGGTGGAACTCCCTGTGGAGCCACGAAACGTGTGAGGGATGTGCCGAAATGGGTGTGGCGGACGCATGTGGACGGTGCCACTGGAGCTTTCGGTGGAGGTCTTGGTTGGGCCACGAAACGTGTGAGGGGCGTGCCGAAATAGGTGTGGCGGACGTATGTGGACGGTGCGATTGGGGCCTTGTGTGGAGGTCGCTATGGGGCCACGAAGCGTGTGAGGGGTGTGCCACTGGGGTTTTTGGTGGGGGTCTTGGTTGGAACACGACACGTGTGAGGGGTGTGCCGAAATGGGTGCGGCGGACGCATGTGGGCGGTGCCAGCCTTGTGTGCAGGTCGCTATGGGGCCACGAAGCGTGTGAGGGGTGTGCCGAAATGGGAACGCCGGACGCATGAGGGCGGTGTCACTGGGGCCTTCGGTGGAGGTCGCTATTGGGCCACGAAACGTATCAGGGGTGTGCCGAAATGGGTGCGGCGGACGCATGTGGACGGTGCCACTGGGGATTTCGGTGGAGGTCCTGGTTGGGCCACCAAACGTGTGAGGTGTGTGTGTGTGCCGAAATAGGTGTGGCGGACGTATGTGGACGGTGCGATTTGGGCCTTGCGTGGAGGTCGTTATGGGCCACGAAACGTGTGAGTGGTGTGCCGAAATGGGTGCGGCGGACGCACGTGGACGGTGTCACTGGGGCTTTCGGTGGAGGTCCTGGTTGGGCCACGAAACGTGTGAGGGGTGTGCCGACATAGGTGTGGCGGACGTACGTGGACGTTGCGATTGGGGTCTTGTGTGGAGGTCGCTATGGGGCCACGAAGCGTATGAGGGGTGTGCCGAAATGGGTGTGGCGGACGCATGTGGGCGGTGTCACTGGGGCTTTCGGTGGGGCTCCATATGGGGCCACGAAGCGTGTGAGGGGTGTGCCGAAATGGGTGCGGCGGACGCATGTGGACGGTGCTACTGGGGCTTTCGGTGGAGCTCCATATGGGGCCACGAAGCGTGTGAGGGGTGTGCCGAAATGGGTGCGGCGGACGCATGTGCACGGTGCCACTGGGGACTTCGGTGGAGCTCCCGATGGGGCCACGAAGCGTGTGAGGAGGAGAAGGGGGAGGAGGAAGGTAGGAAAGAAGGAAGGAGAACGCGGGGATCGTCTCTTCAAAACGAGGACCCAACACCACAGGATGGTTGGAAAACCTTGTTTAGATCGATCCCTGCTTCAAAGGTCGGTGAAGCGGAATGAGGCATTCTCTTCGGCCCCAGCCCAGGCCTGGCATCACGGACCAGCTCAGCGCCCTCGTGCGGACCTGCACTGGGGGTTGGGGGATGATTCGTCCTGCGTGGTCGGATAGTGGAGCACCGCCAGTATGTTGTTGTCATGCCGCGCCTCTCGTATTACTGTCTCACTCTGCTTTGTTTGTCGAGTGCGGCCGGAGGATCCGTCGTTTGATGTGCGTCAGGCTGCAAGGGGGGAGCTCGAGGCCTTGTGGGGTCCTGGGCCGATCCCAGAAGAGGGTAGAGCGGGCAGGCCCCCGATTGAGTATGTTCCCGGGGCCTGTTCCCATTCCCCCCCTCGTTGGACGCCTCTTCAGGCCCTCCTTCGGGGACGCCCTTGAGGTCGAATAGGCGATGCAAGTATCGTGCGGCCAAGACGAAGACGTATGGAAGATTTCGGGTGCGGAAGTTGCTCGCTGTTCCGACGGTCCTTCTATGACTGCCCCTCTGGCGCGCATCGTGCCCCCCAGGCGCATTGGGGGCCAAAAGGGGGCTCTCCTAGCGTTCCTTTTATGGTTGCAGCTTGGCTGCATCACGACGCCTGTGCTGTCTTTTGCTCCCTGCGCCAAGCCGCAGGACGCCCCCTCCCCGGGTTGGCCCCAGATGCACCCCTGCAGTGCACGAGACGGGGCAAGGGGGCCATCCTGGGAGCATAGAGGCCTGGATTGTGGATTACCGATGGTGGGCCCCTGCTTCGGCGAGAGACTAAAGTCAGAGCTCCTCTGCCCTATAGGAGCTCCCGCGATGGGAGGTCCCGTGGCTCTCGAGCATGTGTTCTGGAGGCTGCTGCCAGGACCAGATGGCACTGCACATTTTACTGTGCCGCAGGCGCAGTGGCAGGCTCGGCAGCCCGCAGTCCAGCGCTCCCAACCACGGCTCGCACACCCCGGCAGGCTGGCCAACGGGGCGAGCCCACCCAGGAAGATGATGGCGCCCAGAAGCTGAGATCTCCAACGATGTATGTTTATCTCTACCTCTATCCGGCCTCCGGGGCTTACCGTCGGGCCCCAGGACAATCAAATAATCAGTGATTCGGGGCGAAAAAGCTGCCCGGGTGAGGGAGTCGGGACTTTTGGGACCGCGGATTGGTTGCATCAGATCGGCAGACGTTTGGGAACCCATGGCCAAGGGTGGGTGGGAGCATGCCGTGGGAGCGGCAGTAGCAGGCAGTCGCCCGCAGACGTTGCCGTGGGGCCTTTGCGTTCAGGGTTGCCAGTTCCTTCCGACGCCACTTGAGCAACGCACGAAAACGATGCGTCTGCTGCCGCACACACATTGGCGCGTAAGCTGACCGCGTAAGGTTGCGCGTAAGCGCCCTCGTCTCCAATGTAGCATGCCGCGCTGGCGGCCCGCGAAAGCCGCCGCGCAAGATCGCTGTGCCATCTCGTGCAAGACCCGTCTTTCAACGTCGTCCACATCCAGAATAGTTTCAAAACGTCATCATCATCATCATCATCATCATCATCGTCATCGTCATCATCATCATCATCATCATGATCATCATCATCATAATCATCATCATAATCATCATCATCATCATCATCATCATCATGGTCATCATCATCATAATCATCATCATCATCATCATCATCGTCATCGGCATCGGCATCGTCATCGTCATCGTCATCATCATCATCATCATCATCATCAGCAGCAGCAGCAGCAGCAGCAGTATCACCATCATCATCAGCAGCATCATCATCATCACCAGCATCATCATCGGTCGTGACCTCTGGGGCCGCCGCGGATTTTCAAGCTATGGTCGGCGGATGTCTGGGAAATCGGCCGCTTTAAAAGGACAAGTAGCTCGAGGATTCACCCTGGGGGGGGTGCTATTCGGACGCGGTGTCGGACGCAGCCCTATCCATGATGGGCCCTCCCATCGTATATTCCCGGGTTGGGCCTCAACAGACAGAAACCCCGCAAAGTCGCAGGTTGAGGTCGCCATACCCCCTTTATTTGTGGGGGCAGTTGTGTGGGTCGCGTGCAGCTGCCGTAACGGATTCCCCGGGAGCCTTTATGGGAGCGTCTTCTGCAGGCGAAGAATCAAGTTGCGATTATGAGAGGCGTCAAGCTGTTGTGCGAGCTTGTGGCTTTTCTCGCCGTCGTGCAACCACAAGCCAGGGAAACTTAAGCAGAGGTCCTTCCAGCATGATTTTCCCTATGACTTCCTCGCGGCGCAGGGTTCACGAGAACATGGCCCTGTTGCTTCCTTTGCTAGTGCCCAGGGTGGGCAGAGTCTACGAGTTGCTTGCGACGGGGCCTGCGCCCAGGAGTTGGGATCGCCTTTGCTCCCCCGCTATCTGGCGCCGCCCCGTGCTCCAGGAGCATCTGCGTGCGCAACGACATCGACCGCAGCAGGTGCTTCGCCACCGGCATCAGCATGGGCGGCTTTGGCGTGTGGGCACTGGTAACGCGGGGCTCAAGGGAGTGTCGTTGTTCGGCGGCAAGCCCTGGGGGGAAGCGAGAAGGGGCGGGCCTTCTCAGAGAAGGCTCGGAAGGCCTCGGGCCTTTGAGAAGTGTCTGGGGCTTCCTCGAACACAGAAAACTTCTCTCAAGGCCCAGGCGCTTCTGAGAAGACCCGCCGCCTTCTGAGAATGGGGGAACGAAGCATGACACAAACATATATGATAACTCGGAGGTCCGCGCAGATTTCTCGAATCGGCGCTTGGGCCCACTGGCGGCGCCTCCGGCGCCGCCCCTGGCGCGCTCCGCGCGCCAGGGAGGCGGGTCCAGCGACGATCCAAGAAATCCGCGCGGACCTCCGAGCTTTTAGTTTTGTGTGATTGCTTGTCCCCCGATTCCGAGAAGTCCCGCCGCCTTCTGAGAAGGCCGTCTCCTCCTCGCTTCCCCCCCCCACGCCCGCCGCCGCTCAAGGGCGTGCCGCTGTACCGTCGGGGCCTTGAAGAAGGAACGCTTTTCGTTGTGGAAGGGGCTCCGTGCTCCTTAACTGTTTCACAGCTTGCCTCAGGCTTTCCTTGTGTTTGCGATGGGAAATCGGAGGTTAACTTGTGTGAAGAAGGGGCCCCGTTCCTTATTTGGGGTTCCTGAGGTCAACGCCCCGACTGTAGTCGAATGGGGGCGGCAGGCTCGTGCCGTGTTGGCGCGGCGGCGAGCCCCAGCCGCGTGCGCGTGCGAGGTGGAGCGCCGCCAGCGGCCCGGCAGTGGCCGAGGCGGAGCGGACTGGCAAGCGGAATCGAAGAAGGAAGAGTGCA